CCGGGTCAGTCAGCCGGCGGGCGAGCGGGCGGCTAGTCCTCGGCTACTCACTCGGCATATCCCGTGGTCCAAGGCAGGCGCCTCGTCTCCTTGTTGAGGATGAGGATGGGCCGGGCGATGTGGTCGGCGGAGCACTCGACCTCGTCCGGGGAGAGCCCCAGGAACTCGGGCCGGCCGTAAGGGAAGCGGAGGGGCAAATCCATGCCGTTGCCGTGCTCCGAGCCCGAGTTGCCAGCCATGATGCCTCCCATGAAATTGGCCACGGCACACTTTACCCGAGTGAGCATATTAGTCCTCCTGTCGCCCGTGGGGGTAGCCACGGGGGGGCCAGGAGAACCGCCGCCGCCGCCGCCGCCGCCACCGGCATTTACTTCCCAGCCGGCCGGCAGAGGCGCAGCGCTCGGGCTGGGAACCCGGCGGCCGTTGCTGCTGCCGTCGTCAGAGCCAGGCGTCCCCGGAGCAGAAGAGCCGCGACGCTTCCGCAATGGAAGAAGAGCTGCATGGAGCGGGCGGGCGGGCGCGCAGGCAAGGCAGGTCACCGCCACCAGGAAGAGGCGCCGAGCCGAGGCGCCAGGCAAGGGGACGGCCACCGCGGAGCGCTCATCGTGGCTCGCTTGCTCGCCGCCTCCTCCTCCTCCTCCTCCTGCGGAGAGGCTCCCCTGCCTGCCTGCCTGCCTGGCGGTCTCCCTCCCCTCCGCCCTCCCTCCTCGGCGCTGCTTCCCGAACTCGACCCCGCCCCCACACGGAGCGCTTGGCGAGGAGTCACGTGACGAGGAGACGCGGCTTCGGCTCTCGGCGGCCGCGGGGAACTTCCTGCTCCTCCGGCCGCCGCCGGGGATCCTTCCTGCAGCCGAGAGACCTTGCGGCAGCCGCTCCCCCCCCCCGCACTCTCCCAAACGCTCGCCTCTGGCATCGGCGCCGCTGACACGAGGGAGGAAAGGGGTTGGGGGGGTGTAGCATCCAGAGGTAGGCCCTCCCGGGCCGGCCGTTACTCGTTTCCCTTTTCTCCAGGGTTTTGCGTGTGGGTCCATGGTGGACCTAAGGTCAGGAATAAATGCTTTCAGGAGGGTTTATTATGGCGCCGTCCTTATGCATGTTTACTTAGAAGTAAGCCCCATTGACAGGAGGGCCTGGCGTGCTCTGGTCTATGGGGTCACGAGGAGTCGGACACGACTAAACAACAACAAAAAGCCCCATTGAATTCAGGGGGACCTACTCCCAGGTAAGTGGGGACGAAATTGCAGCCTGGAGCGGGAAAATCTTGAAAGGCAGAACTGTCTGGTTTAAAGGGATTTTTTTAAAAGGACTTTTTCTGTTTCCTGGGGGGGGCGTGTCCGACTCTCCCCCAAAAGCTTCTGCCAACTAAAACGCCTTAATCTTGAAAGTGCTGCACAGGCCCTGTTGGTTCCGTTGGTCCCGAGACTCCTCTGAGGAGCTGTCTAGCAGTGTTGTGTCTTCTCTGGCCCTGACTCCCCAAAGTCTCAGAAATAAGTCTTTGCCATGGCCCGCACCTTACCCTATGTACTGGCTGCTTGGGCTGGGGGTTGGGAGATACAGGATACCCCAGGGGGGAGCCCAAGCTCCCCTATCACCCCTGCACACACACACACACACACACACCAGTTATGCATCCAAGAAAACTAGGAGACATTTCCCTACCATAGGAGAAGGTGGCAGCAGCAGCAGGGAGGCTCCCATGCCACATACACACACCAGAAGAAACGGGCACGTTTCCAAGACAGCAGTGTAGGACCTGGAGAGGAGAAAAGGACAGTGCCACTCCTTCCAGGACAGAGAGGGAAAGGATGAGCAGGAGAAGGAAACGTCTTTGTAAAAGTTGAGCAGTGTCCACAAATACTCATTACCCGCTGTTATTGCCAGCGGAGGATGCCACATGCCTCCCACCAAAAGCCACTTCTATACAGAGCTGATGTTTTCTTCAGGGCTAATAGTGTTTCTCCAAGGGAGCCTGCTCAGAGCCAAGACACTACAGTACAGATGCTGTGGAAAATCAACTGTTCTGTGGATCCGTTTTCCTAAGTACCCTTCTGATTCCCTTCCCCAGTGTACCACCTGAGGCAGGTGCATTGCTCAATGAAAAGACAGGTTGTTTTACTGAAACCTGAGCTATCCGCTTGACCTACCTTACAATTTGCTGTTGGGAGGAGAAGGGCCATCCTCATTGTTGAGAAAGGTCAGGTGTAAATTAGACAAACTTGATCATTTTAGCTTGAGATACCAGGGAGTGAACCTCAGACCTTTTGCATGCAGATGACCTTCTACACCACTGATTATGGTTCTTCCCTTCTATTATACTGTAAAACAGTTTGCATTCCAACTTTCAAACTGCCTTGGTTTTGTCTGATCAAGTGGCCCATAGTCTCATGTTGAAAAAGATTAAAGTAACTGGAAACAAAATCAGAGTGCAAAAAGTTGGCAAGGGGCATAGTCAGCCCACACCATTCATTGGCATACCACCTAGATGTCTCTGAGACTTTTGTATTTATTGTCAGATCACATTCCGGAGATTCATGGTCTTGGATGCTTGCAAGAGCAAAAAGAAATCCAGTTGCAGGGAGCACTAATGCATTTTTGCACAAAATCTCCTTGAAATGTATTCTTGAAGGCTTTCACGGCTGGGACCCAATGGTTGTTGTAGGTTTTTCAGGCTATATGGCCGTGTTCTGGAGGTTTTTCTTCCTAATGTTTTGCCAGTTTCTGTGGCCAGCATCTTCATAGGACAGGAGCTACATAGACACAGAGTTCTAGCTCCTGTCCTCCGAAGATGCCGGCCACAGAGACTGTTGAAACTTTAGGAAGAAAAGCCTCCAGAACACGGCCAAACAGCCTGAAAAACCTACAACAACCATCTCCTTGAAATGTGTGGGAGACACAAGAAATGATCTTTCTAGCAGAAGTCACTCAATAAATGTATCCCACAATGTTCATCAAGTTAATGTATTTTTAAAGAAGATGGCTTGGTCTTTATCAACAGAAAGAGGTTGGGGATATTTTCTATTTTTCTTTTGCAGTGATCAAGGCTATGTGAAAGATGAAACTATTTTATCAACATTTGGAAGGAATTGTAGTGATATGAATTGAATAGTATTAGTGATGTAACAGTTTGCTTTCCCTGATTTCAATAAAAACATAAATGGTTACTGTCTGTCAAATACACTGATTTTAAAAAATACATGATTCTGACAGTGCACAAATGCCACTGACTTTTCCACGGTGAGTAATCAAATGTCTCTTTTGATATGTTTTAAGTTTGCAAACCACATAGAGCCCCGCCATGCGTTTTTGCAGAGGACCAACCTCAAAAGTATGGGAATTGTGTGCACGTGGAAACTGTGCACCTTGTTTTGAAGCCCCTAGGAGCCTCAGAAACAATGACTTTGTTCAGAAAAAAGACACTCACTCCTCATGGTCCCTTTTTGAAAAGGGAATGGGGGGTGAGTAGCAACTAATCCCATGGTGAGTTGGGCAGTGCAACTGTGGTAGGTAGATTGCAGCCTCAATAGAATGGCAGAAGGCAGTGAACTCATGCCTGGAAGTTATCCAGCCTGTTTTAAATTATAAATTATACATGCTAATGCTATACTTCTCTGCTTTATGGTTATTATATTTATTCATACTGATGTGTAAATTGGTCTGATAGTTGTGAGAAATGCAGTATACAAATAAACAACACCTACAAGAAGAACACAAGCAAGGCAGTAAAGGCAGTAATGCTCTATTGCTCCCCAGCTATTAATATTCAGATGGTAGTGGGGTGAGTGGTTTGTTCTTTTTTTTTTTAAGTGCTTCTTAAAATGGTGAAAGGACTTTTCTTTTCATAGCTTGCACTTTTCCTCCTCTTCCTAGTTTGCCTTTGGCACATGGTGTTTTGTGTTTGGGCTTTGAAAGATACACAGGGAAATCCTGTAAGAAGGGGAAATGCACTAATTCCCATGGATGTTTCACCCTCAGTGCTAACAGGGTTTGGAAAAAAAATACTTTTTGGACTACAGCTCCAAGAATTCCTGACTGCCCAGAGTCATGTTCTGCACAAGTGTGTTTATCTTCATTGCTGCTATGTTCCTTATGCAGCATCTGGAAGTTGCTGTTAAAAGTATTCCAGAAAGTACCTTGTCCAAGCCTTGATGATAATATTTCATTTTGTACAAATAGCCATAATTACTGAAGACTCTAACCAAGGTTGTTACCATACAAGGAGTTTCAAAGTCCTGACCCACCTGCATACAGCTACAGGAGACATGGAGTTACACAATAGAAGAGATCCACATGGCCCTGTGTCTTATAGCCATTATATTGCTGATGCTGACTGATTTGCCTCTAGGAATGTTTTCATTAAAAAGGCACTGCTCCTATCCTGATCTCTCAGAGTTAAACTATACAGAGAGCTCATCATTAAGAAAGAATGCTTTACCTGCTAAAAGTGCTAATTTTCCCAGTAGGTGCTTTTCACACCTCCCATTGTTTTCAAACTGGCTACATTTTTGTTATCTTCTGTATTCTTCAGAATGTAAATAAACCCTCTGATGAACTTCTCAGTGTTCAGGTAGAGAATGTTACCATTAAAATAACCCTTGTGTTTTCAGAAGTGCCAGGAGGGCATCTTCTAGGTTGCATGATTTTAGAAATGATTGTTGTTGTTTAGTCGTTATGTCCGACTCTTCGTGACCCCATGGACCAGAGAAAACCAAGCCCTCCTGTCTTCCACTCTCTCCCGGAGTTTGGTCAAATTCATGTTGGTGGCTTCGATGACACTGTCCAACCATCTCGTCTTCTGTCATCCCCTTCTCCTCCTGCCTTCACACTTTCCCAACATCAGGGTCTTTTCCGGGGCCCCTGATGTTGGGAAATGATAATGTCAGCAAATCATCCGCTGACATTATGGTGACTCATATGTTTCAATATACTGTACTGTATCATATTTTCCATGCAGGGATTGATGGGACACTGTGGATATTTTTATGTAATCTGGCATGTGCGTAGCTTAAGAATATGTTATCAGTTCTCATCTTTAAATATAAACAACTCTAGGAGAGAAAGCACCAGAAATAAGCTGGAATCATTCATCTAATATGCCTATAGTTTGCAATAGTATATTGGTCATACACAGAGTTTTACAGCTGGCATGGTCTTTGGAGTTTTAGTCCAAGAACATTTAGGGACCCAAGGTTGGGAACCACTGCAATAAAGGGTTAATTCCAAAGTGAAACCAAACAATCACTGACAATCATATCAAAATTCACCTATCAAAGCATGTATTTTCATTGTTGCAAAAATTCCAAAAGGCATCAGCTTGTCTATTCTACAAGCTTTATTAATGTACATTGCTTTTATGTTCCATATGCAGAAAATACTTCAGAACTGTAATATCCAAAAAGGTTACAGGTATAAAGAAAACTGTAAGCACAAATACTTGAAATACATATGAAAACTAAACTTAAGTTCTAGACAAATACCTAAGTCATATTTGAATATAAAATACAGGAGCAAAAAAGGACATATAAGAAAAGAACACATCAGTAAAAAGTAGTATTATAACTTTAAAAGCAGCAATTTAAAAGCATAGGGGAAAAGTCAAAATTGTTAAAATAGAAAGATACAAAGTGGAAAGCATTTCTTCAAAACATCATATATTAAAGGAAATAACTTTGTTAGTCTCTAAGCATATTATTAGATG